TATGGTAATACATTTAAGAAACGAGCTAGTCAACATTTTACATTTTTTCTATTTAATTTAAAAAATCCCATCAAAATACACATGATTTGGGTTGGAGTAGTTGGAAAACGGTAAACAGTTAAAAGTTGGAGTAGTTGGAAAACGGTAAAACAGTTAAATAGCTGATATTATTGTTGCATTTTGATGAATTTCCTTGACTATTTTTAAAACAATGCCGTTTTAGGCCCCTTCCTTTTGCCATTCTAACACAAATAAGGAATTTGTATACTTTTTGGGATTGTATATTATAAAGCCATTTATTCAATACAAAGAGTTCACAATCTGCCTTAAGAAATCCCCCAGCCCTCAGATTTCAAATCCAACGACAAAGAGTCAATTTATCCTCATTTTGTCAAAAAAGTTCACCTTATTGTATTTTTTTTTTTTTGGTAGGCTTTCAGAGAAATCTCCCTCAAAAGCCTAATGCCGATGGGAGATAGATAATAAAGTTAGTGAATTTGTCGAAAAAAGAAAAGACAATAAACGGTTACGGATATTATAAATTTCTAATGTTATGCAAGAACAGCATTGGGACTTAATCGACACTCGAAAATAAGAAAAGCGTAGAAACCGCGTTGAAGAAGCTTCCTCTTTTATTCCAGCCTAATCTTTTCCCAGGAGTGACAAGGCAATCAAGGGTTTATCTATCTTTCCCAATAAGGCAATCAAGGGTTGGTATTGAGTCCACATGTTGCGTTCGAGATAGTTACAGGGTGCTTCAGTACTTTTAAATGGTTCAGATTGAACCAAGCGGCCAAAACTCAATTTTATTTTTATTTTAAAAATTTTTAATTTGAGAATTATATTTATCTGAAATTTAGGTTTTGGCTTAATATTTATAGGGAGAATTAAATAAAAATAATAAAAGCATTTTAAAAAATTGACTGAAATATATTTAGGGGTACTTAGTTTTTTTTTTGGTTGAATTTGTTTATTATTTATAGTTAGTTCTCTTTTATGAGAATGCAGGTAAAAACCAAATTTCAAATCAATAAAATATTCGAATAAAATTAAAATAAAAATATATAAATTAGTCAAATTTCCAATAAATATAATATTTAAATAAAACTAAAAATATAATATAAAATTAATTTTTGGCCATTAAACAAAGAAAATTTTACGTACATATCATATTGGGGGGAGGGGGGTCAATTACAAAATGTGATCACGTTTGTCTCATATTACAGCCACCACCTCCTCTCAAGTGAAAGCAAAACTGTTGTTTGGTATTTGAAATACCATACAGATATCTGCTATCCTCAAAACCAGTAAGCCCTCTCCCTCTCTAAACATCGTGACTCTTATCATGGTATTGAAAATAAAGGAATCGGACTACAATATTTGGTACAAAAAGCTTGTGGGTGTAATGCATGGCGCCTGAAACGTTGATTGCACAATGGAAAATGAATTGGCTTAGAGCGGAGGGGTTGGAATTGTAGTCATTGACAACCACGAATCCATGGACTTGTTTCAAAGCCTTGAGGCTTGTACATCTTCGCCATAGAGAATTTACAAGGCGATATGAGTTCGGGTTTTTCTGATCATCAAGTGTGGAGGTGGAGATTTTTCTTATGAATGATCAAGGCCAAAGGGTCAATGACTACTCTGAGTGCAGAGACAAGAGAGAGCGGGGGTCGAAGGTCTGAAGAAAGGGGGGCTGGTCGAGAGAAGGGGCTTGCTGGTTTTAAGGATTGCAGATAATTGTCTGGTATTTCAAACACCGAACAACTGATTTGCTTTGCACGATATAAACCCTACATATTCGGTGTTTGTATTACTGAACAGGGGTAACTTAGGGAAAAAAAAAACACCGCGACGGAGGCGCTACCCTCCTCACAACCACAATATGGTCGGCACATAAATTTTTCTTAGATAAAAGGTGCTTGTGCACCCTTCCAAGAGTCCACGTAATGTAGACGGGATGCTTTTCCAATCGAAAGGAGGGAAAAGTTAAAATTAGGTGGTACTCATGAGTCACTTTCCAAACCCATACTGATCTAGAACATGAAAAATATTTGAAGTCTCTATAGATGTGTTTTTTATTATGATTTTGGAGATCAGGCAAATCTAATGATCTTTTGAAGAATCAAAATGAGAGATACCCGATCATTTAAAAATTAAGTCTAAAAATATCTTATTTTATCGAAAAATTAAGTCTAAAAATATCTTATTTTATGGTGTATAGTCCAATTTTTATTGAGATTCACTATCGTGGTGAGAAAATAATCGACCCAAAATTTTAGGTCCAAAATCGATAGATTTTCGAAGGAGACTGCATATGAACAAGTATTCCCCTAACCCACCAGCCCAGAATGGGTTCCTAGGATAACTAATATTCATTATCTACCAGAAAAAATAAAGGGACCCTATACATTTCTTGTTTGATTTAGGGTGATGTTTTTGTTTTGTAGTCTATAAAGACTTCAATTCGATTTATTATTATTATTTACTTAGGTTAGTCTACAGGTTAAAAAAGGTTGCATCTCAAAAATTTGGAGTCCTAAAATTACTCCTATATGGGTTTTACTTGAGAGAGTAAATGAACAGCATACTCTTGCAGGCGTACAAACTCTTTTGGCTTTAACAAATAGGGAATTCAAGATAATTTAAATTAGATAGGACGTACTTGCCAAAAAGAACAAAGGACGGGTCAGTAAGCCAAATAAGGAGTTGGAGAATATAAGCAAACGTATAAGAAATCAAAAGGAAGAAGCAAGAAGCAACATTGGTATACAAAATCAAGTTAATTCTCATAAAAATTTAATTCATTTTTATGTGTTATTGTAGGTAGTTGCGATTAATAATTTGTGGTTGGTAAACAAAATAAGTAGCTGGACAATATATTTAAGCGTATAAATTAGAAATTGAAGGGAGAAGCAATAATTAATTAGAGTAGGGTCCATTAAATAATGGTTCTTGTTTTTATGTGGCCAACCCTGCATATGTAAAAATGCGGGCTTTTCAATAAATTTATTTTTGAGATGGATTTTAAGACGTAATTTTTGAAGATATATAATCTTTAATATGGAGATCATGAATATGAAAAAAACAAATAAATTTTAAAAATAAAAAATAATATTTCTAATGAGACAATATTTGGACCGTTGCACTTTCTGAACCGCATATGTAGACGTGTGGTCCAGCCCGCATGAAACAAATTCATAAATAATTGAGTTTAGTTACGTGGCATATGGTTAGCAAACAACATCGATTAGAATCAGTCATGTCAAAATCAATTGGACCACCTTATTTAAAGCCAAGAACACTCGAACAACTAATGCCATCAATAATGTTCAACTCTTACTAGGGCCTATATTATGCTTCATGGGAGCATACTATACACTAAGTCCCTAGAGCAAAAGAGGAACCACGGAGAGTTTTTTAAATTTAAAATTTGCAAACCCATATGAGAATCACCAGATGAATATAATCAAAAAACAAAATTTGGATGTCGAGTTCTTAAACACTTGGATTTTGCCATCTAAAAGTTGCATAGCACCCTAGCTTCACTTCCAAAAGTTGCATAGCAACCCTAGCTTCAGTTTTACTAGATGGATAGTATGCTCCAGCAAGAGCAAAAAATCATTTCCCAACTCTTTTGTTGTGAAAATGAGGTGAATAGAAGAGGAGAATGATCACGTACAAAGCTAATCTAGGTTAATGTCATAGAATATACCATAAAAATGGCATCATATACTTATTGAGATGCCCCAAGTTGCAATGCCAAAACTCAAATAAAAAATGATCCAATTAAGGTAGATTTTTCTACTTTCAAGGTGGATTTGTTCTTTAACTGATTAGTACTCCAATCTTCTAAAGCTCAAAAAAAAAATAGAAAAAGGAAAGATTAAGAGGAAACAATGACAAAAGGAATTGTACCAAAAACACTAAAGAACGGGAAAAATACAATGAGAAAGAAAACAAATAAAAAGACGTGTAGCTATAAAACAAAACAAAGGCACATAAAAAGTAACTCCCCAAATAAAGAGAAGGGCCAAAAAGGTTAATTACAACGGGTTGGGATTTATGCTTTTTTCTTATTTTCTTTGGCCTGAAACTTTCGCCAAAACGCCGAAATTTCGAACAGCGATCCATATTCCGGCCATGCTTCGAAACATTACGAAATTTTGCACGTCGAATTCTACTATTCCATTAACGGATGTAACACGCTCTATGTAGCTTTTCTTAGTTTATAAGTAACCCATTCACTTTCAAAATTAACCGGCAAACGAAAATGAAAGAAAAAAAAAATAATAATAATTAGATTTTAATGGATTGAATTGTGCCTAAAGATATTTTTCAAATTTTCTTAAAAACATTAAAACCTGTAAAAATAAGTATTGATGGCCAAAACAATTTCCGATCTTTATCATAATGATAAAAATTATTAAAAAATGCTTGCAAACAAAATCCCTTCTTTTCTTGGATTTTATATTATTATTTTTTTAAAAAAAAAATTACCCAGCCGCCCAAAACCAGCCCAAAACGGGCCACTGTTCGATCTAAATCGCCCGATTTTTTTCTTCAATGATATAAATTATTATATTTAAAAATCCGACGTATAGATGAAACAAGAAGTCGATAAATAACAACATACCGACTCAAAACGTCCAAGGGCCAAAAAAAAAAAAAAAAGGACAGAAATAAGGATTTCCAAAAACTAGGTAAGTTAAAGAGTCATGAATTTTTTGGATTTGGTGGAAAAAAAACAAAAATAAAAAAAATAGATAGGTAAAGATAGAATAAGGTAAAATAATAAGGGATGCACCTTACTGTACATTGTATAGATGCATTAAAGTCAATAAAAACACAAAATGAGACAAAAAGAAGCCAGAGAATATAATTGGAAGTAACACTTTCAGTATTGATATTAAAATATAAAATTTGAGCAACACATGTCATATATATACAAGAAATGCACCAAATACTGAAGGCATCATCTGTGCTCCATCCAATCCAAATAAGAAAAATATACTTTTAAAAAGGACTAATAAATTACACATATAGGAATTCCCCCAAAAATAAGGGATTTTTAGATAAGAGAAAAGGAGCAAAAAAATAGCCCCAACCACAAACAAGGTCCAAAACCATTTCTACACAAGCAAATATGTACATGGAACACACCCAATTCCAAATTAAAAATAAAACTAAAAAGGAATATCAATTTCCTTTTCCATTAAAGAAAAAACCCAACAATAAAACAAAAACAAAAAAAAATCACCCCCCCTAAAAAAAAAAGGGGAAAATCATGAGCTTGCAAAAGGATGAAGCGTCCTGCTCAAACCGTTAATGTTGGGAAAAGCCATGCACCCCACCAACTCTTGCTTGTAAGGCAAATAAGATTTCCTCTTCGCAAAACCGCTATTCTCATACACCGCAAAACCAGAAACCGCTTTTACCCCTCCTGAAACGGCTTTCCGCTCCACTGAAACAACCTTTCCATCCCCAAAAACTTCCTTGGGTTCACCGGAAACCGCCTTAGCCCCATTCAAACCCACCTTTCCCTCACCTGAAACCTCTTTTGGTTCACCCAAAACCGCTTTTGAATCGCCCTTCTTGACCATACCGAAAACCACCTTCGTCTCCCAAGAAACCGGCTTGACTTTCGCTTTCCCGGCTCCAGTTTCACCTGAAGCCCCATTTGTCTCACTGGAAACCGGTTTGACCTTCGCTTTCCGTTCACACTTATCGCCACAGATTGCCTTTCCTCCACTGGAAACCGCCTTAACGTCACTGGCAAATGGCTTAACCTTCCCCGGAATACTCCCTTCACTACCGCTCCTATGCAACAAATCCCTCAGTCTCCACCTTCTAGAAGATCCAGCCGAGCTACTCTTCCCGGTCTTGTGTGGGGCCCACACGCAATAAGTTTCCGGTGAGAGCCCCTCCAAATCGGAAGTTTCCGACACCTTGCTGTTACTCACCTGCACAGGGACATCACTTTCAGGCGAGATGATACCATTTGCCGACGAGGGCCGATCCTCCTGAGAGACCGATGAGGCCCGGGTCTCCTCAGAGAAGAGGTCTCTCAAGGGGAACCGAGCTGGCTTCTGAGTTTCACCGGAATCCAATGATTCCGTCGCCGGAAAGATGGCTGGAGAAATTTCCCTGCCAAAAAACGGTTTGATTTGGCCATTAAAGAAGAGCTCGTCGGCAGATTTGGGCTCAAAGTCAAGGGCCGCGAACTCAAAGTTTGGGGCCGCGAACTCAAAGTCTTCGTCATCGCTTAGTCGAGCACAGGCTGCCTCCTCCTCTGCTTCTCTGAAGATAGTGGGGCTCGTGCTAAATCTAGCCGATTGGCATCTGCCAAAGCTCGGCGAGTGGGAGAGAACGGGGCTCTGCATCTGAGAAACGCCTCTAAACTCTGCCCAAAATTTTGCTGGGAAGAAACACTTCCAAAACCACCTCCAAAGGTGGCAAAAGAGAAACACTACCAAAACCACCTCCAAAGGTGGCAGAAATGGCCCCTTATGACGAAAAAAAAAAAAAAGAACCCTAAAAAATCCTCTCAGGTGGGCCAAAATAGCTTACCAAAGCTCCTCTGAACCCTTCTCCTGAAAGGGCTCAAAACGCTTATAGAAACTCCTCCAGATTTGGCCCCAATACCTCTTGACCAATGGCTCCTCAGAGATAATATTTGGCCGCTAAAAGCTCTGCTAAATTTGGGCGTAAACGCTCCGCTAAAATGGCCTCTCAGAGCAGAGCTTGTGTCGCCGTGACATGCTCTGTTCCGGATTTTGCTGTCCTTTCATTTTCCGATGTATAAATAGGAGCGACCATATTAAACCACGTCTTTTCCATTATTAATTGACTCAAGTGAAATCCATCTTTATTTAAAACGACAGGTGGAAAAGAGATTTCCGCGGTCGGAGAATGACTATTTTGCCCTTGCAAGGTTCGGGCCCTCACCCCTGGCTTGGGCGTGTTTTTTTTATTTTGAAAAAAATGTTTAAATCTATTTAAATCTAATTTAAGAGAAATAAAAGAGTTAAAAGCTTCTCTCCCAAAAGTCCATATTTCCCTGTCAAGTAGGGAGATTAATTAAAATAGGGAAAAGTTACACAGAGCCGAGGCTTTAAACAATCATATTCGAGCCTACCTCAAAATTTTAACCGGACGAGATTGTTTTGATGACCAAAAATCTTCAAATTGATCATCTCGACATCTAGATGCATGGACATAAGAAAAAAATTGATTTCAATTTTGGAAATAATATATTTTATAATAAATTTTTTGACCGTCAATTTTCAAGATTCACAAGTTTTTATAGATATATCGATCTACAACATTTTTAAAGCTTTAAAATTTATAAATAAAAATAAAAATATATTTTAAGGTTATCGCAAAGATTTTCAATGTTGAAATCATATTTCTGGACGCTATCTAAAGTTAGGTTCTAATTTGATTGTTTAGAGCCCAGGCACGCCCATTAAAATATATTTTATCATTTAATTGTTTATTATTTTACCCTTTTTGTACTATTCCATGTCAAAAGCAAGTATTTTGATGGTTATTTTGGAATTAAATTAAAACATGTAGTAGAATATTAAATAGTTAATATCTTAGATGTATTTTGACATTTTTTTTTTAAGAGTATACATGTCCAAGTACAATATTCATGATAATAGAAGTATCAAAATAAATTAAAAAGACCTCTCAAAATTTTAGATCCAAAATCCATCACTTAAATGTGTTTTTTCGAAAACATAGTGCATTCGAAGAATGGGATGCACTGAAACCTCAATATTTTTTATGAGGAATTGTCTCTATCTTCAAATGTGCAAAAGTGTATTTAAAGGTAGATTTTGGATTTAAAATGTATTCTGAGTCACTCTAGATGAAATTTCATATTGAATATGATTTTGCTGCTCAAAAATTGATATTTGTAAATAAATAAAACAAATGATCTAAAAATTAATTTTAAAATAATTTATTTTCAAAGTTCAAATCCATTTTTATTTATTCATGGTGTTTAGATTATCAACATATAAAAGTTAAAGCCAGAACCTAATAGTTTTCTAACAGATAAAAACCACATCCTATTTAAATTTGGAGAATATGGAACACGTTCTAGAAACTTGGGTTAAAATACTGTAATAATAACAATTATAATGGTGTTTTTATTTATGTCCATTATTTAATCGGATGAGCGTGTCACACGGGGCAGACGTTAGAAGCAGTTTGTGACGGCGGCTTTGACGCAACGCAAAGGCTCGTAAGGATTTGACGCTTTTGAGAGCGCGTCGTCTAGGTCTAACTTCACTCACACGTGGCACGTTTTTAATCCACGTATGCAATGCGCTGGCATCAAGCGACATCGTCGTGGCAAGTCCGAAACGATTCACTCATGAGACATTTTTAGGTCCTTGATGTATGGTTCAGTGCGGTCTTTAAAGACCTGGACCTGGCCCACCCCAATTTTTTGAAACTTGGTTCCAGGCTTATCTGGTTGGGTTCGGTGTGTCCGATGGATTCCACCATGTACCAAAAAACGAAATCGTTTTTACAGAGCCGAGGCTCTCTAAACAATCAAATTAGAGCCAACCTCAAGAAATTAGTTTTTATAGAGCCGAGGCTCTAAACAATCAAATTAAAGCCCACCTCAAAAAATTCACTAGGAGGTGTTTGTTTTTTTGGAAGTCTTTTATCAGATTTTGAAAAAGTTTCGAGTTTGTTTCACACTTTCCATAAAAAGTCATAAACTAATCTTTCAACAAAAAATCCCATTGCTTTGCTAAAAAATGAAAAATTAAGTTGTTAAGGAGTAGGAACTTAATCTCGTAATTTTTTTGTTGATTACTATTCACTGTACATAATATAAAAACATAATATTAGTATTATTAATATGATATAATATAATATTATTATACCATAATATTATATAATATAATATTATACTATATATTTATATTTTTTTTATATATATGTATATTATATGGTATATATTGATTATATATTATATGTAATATATAATATATATTATATATAATATAATAAATAATAATATAAATATTATATACGTAATATACAAATATCTTATAT